TTGCCCACAGATGCCAGAAGAGGGCACTGTGTCTCCTGGAGCCAGCGTTACAGGTGTTGGTGAGCCTATGACTTGGGTGCTAGGAGCTGCACATGGGTCCTCTGCAAGAGCAGTATGTGTTCTTATCTGCTGAGCTGACTTCACAGCCCCACGGGAAGTGTTCTTACGCTCATTTGATGGGTGAGGTGAACAAGGCTCCATGAGATCTCATTGCAGCTAAGAGTGTGAAATGAGAATTTGATTGAGGTTAGGTGACCTCTTCCCTCCCTACTACTTCCTGAGCTCAGAATCGTTAATAAAGCTGGTCTCTTCCTACTCCACAAACCCATAGTTTAGTCAAGATTTGCAAAAGAGCACACACACACAGAGGCACACACACAAGCACACACACAGAGGAACACACACACAAGCACACACACAAGAGGCACACACACACAAACACACACACACAGAGGCACACACACAGAGGCACACACCACACGGGCACGCACACGCACATATAGGCACACACACATGCACATACACACACAGGCACACAGACACAGGCACACACATGCACACACAGGCACACACACAAAGGCGCACATACACAGAGGCACACACACACAGGCAAGCACACACACAGGCACACACACTCACACACAGGCACACACACTCACACACAGGCACACACACGCACACACAGGCACACACACAGGCACATACACATGCACATACGCACACAGGCACACACACAGAGGCACACACACAGGCACACACACATGCACATACACGGACACACGCAGTCAGAGGACTGAAGAGTTGGTATCCACGCTGACACACTGCTCGTGTACAATTAGCAGTTGATGAATAAGTGAGGGAATGGATGAGGGTTAAAAAGATGCAAACACAAAGACTTCAAAACTCATGTTAAGAAAGCTGGACACACTCTTCTGGCACACAAGTGTATGGGCTGACAGAGCACTCATGCGTAAAAAAATAAATAAAACTTCAAGGAAATGTAGAAATCCTAAAAAAAAAAAAATCTGGTCACAGTTATGTGTACCTATAACCCAAACAGTGGGAGGCCGAGACAGAAAGGTTTCTGGGATTTGTAGACTTGCCAGTCTGGCCAAATCAGCTAGCTCCAAATTCAGAGAAAGATCCTGCTTCAGAAAAGTAAGGTGGAGAGTAACTGAAGAAGACCCCTGATGGAGATCACCAGCCTCCATGGGCACATGCACACGTATACAGACATATGTACATGTATGTACACAGAGATGGATGCGCGAACAGAAACAGAGGAACGAGTGATTGGACACATTCGAGACTCATCCCTTAGTATGGCCCCACCCAAACCTGACTTCTCTTCCCAGACCTCTGATAATCTGGAAGGCAACAGCCTCCCCTTCTGCTGTTGCTTGTGACAGCAACAAAAAGCTACTCAGTGGCAATTACACCCAGTTTTCCTCACCACCACCCCCTGTCTCACTACATGGAGCTTCCATTTCTTCCCACTTCCCACCCTTGTCTAGAATGAGTTCCCAGCTGCAGTGTGCTGCTCCCATCGTCCCTCTGTTTCTTAATGTTGATGGGGAGTTCTCAGAGAGAAGAGTCCCACCTCCTGCTTCCACTTAGAAGTCCAGAAGGAAGGGGTGACTGGGCAGGGACTGCCTGCTGAAGCTTTGGAGGACCCTGGCACAATTACCTCCCATCGGCATGCTAATCTCCCTATGCCGTGCAGGAGAGCCATTGCTGCTGTTAGGACAGAGCGCCAGGAAGTGGCCCAGTCTACAGTGGGGTGTTTAACATCTTAATTAAAACCTTTTGATAAATATTTACCACTCCTGATTCTCCTCAAAAGGAAAATGACAAAAAAAGGAGAAGGAAAAAAGGGTGAGGGGAGTAAGGAGAGGAAGGACGACCGAGGAGAGGGAAGAGAAAGGAAGAAAACATACAGAAAGAGATACTGAGAGGGCCAGTCCCCAGCAGGCAGAGCCAGGGCCCAGGGGACAATCGCCATGCCTACCGAGCCTTCCTCCCTCTGGCCCATGAACCAGAGAAAGAAGTTCAGATCCTCTCACCCTGGCCCTGGGGTGGCATCTTTCCTGGCCTTCTCAGATCTATTTCAGTTCTCAGTCTCGGGCGGGGCAGTAGTGGCTTTAATCCCGGAAATGAGGAGACAAGGCAGATGGACATCTGAGTTGGAGAGTTAGAGGTCGGCCTGGTTTACAGAGTGCACAGAGAAACCCTGTCTCAAAAGCAAAACAAAACAAAACAAAACAAAACAAAAAAAAAGAAAGAAAAAGAAAAAGAAAAGAAAAAAAAGTTCCTAGTCTCTATTCTGTTGCTTCCCTACCTCTCACGCACCCCATATGTCCACTTCCTCTCATGGACACCAACAGGACTGTCCACAAGACAGCAGACTGACTTAGACAGAGCTAAGATTCCCACCCATAGCCCCCTCCACGTCCCCTACTGAGCAGCTCCTGCCTGGAAGACCTGATACTCAGTCCTCAAAAGCTTGAGTCTACAGATGATAAACACACATGGTCACTGAAATGACCACTTAGTTACTGTCATGAAGCAGGCTGGGGGGACCTGGGTGGAGCAGGGACAGGAGCTGAGAGCAGGCGTCAGAGCTGTCTTTCTGAACAGTCATTAGGATGTCAGCTGTCTGCTCTGCTCAGGACTGTTGTTTTAATTTGAATGAGCAAGATGTGCGCTCTTGTGTGTGTTCACATGTGTTCTGTGGTCCAGCATCACCAGCTCAGGTCCTCCTCTCTCTGCTGCCACTCTGCTTTGCCAGCCTTAATTACAGCAATTTAGGAGACACACTGAAGATTGCAGAATAAACCCATCAATATTTCACTTAAGAAAGGATTCCTGTCGGATGGTATCAGAGGCCTATAAATGAGAAATATGAGACTTGTTTTTAGGCTACCTACACACACACACACACACACACACACACACACACACACCTCGGATGAATTGTCACATGTGACCTCCTTTCTGTCACAGACTCTTGGAATAGCTGAGGGCTTTATTCAGCTTCAGTCAAGCTATTTGCCTAAATCACATTAAAAAAAAAAAAACCATGAGGAAATGTAGGCTTTGTATTCAGGGGCTTCCTGTCGGTGGATGCAGGAGATACCAGACCCCCTGGGTGTGTAGTCAGAGGAAGGGGTGCTGGGTGGCTCCGATCTCAGCCATGTTCTCCAGAGGAGGCAGCTGAGGCTTCCTGCACATCGAGGCATGGCAGCCCTATCTGAGTAGAGAGGGTACCTCACCCCAGGGTCCCTCTCACTTCCCTTGTCTTGCTCTTAGTCTCTGTGTCTGGAAGGCCTAAGGGTCTCATCTCTCTCAGCATCTTCAGGCCTAGGCTGAAAACACATTAGCCATCATTCGGGTAGTGGAACCTGTTCAGCCTTTGTCATCTGTCAGCCCTGAGTCTTGGATGTGATCCTAGGGAAGCCACAGCTCTAAGCTTCAGGCACCCAGTTCTACTGTGTAGGGTCCTACAGAGGCACAGCCTCTGCAGTCACACAGGTGGCAGCAAAATCGGGCCTTGTTCTGGGTACGGTGTTTTTAAAAGGGCGTGAGGGTGGCTGTGGTGGGAACTTGGCTCTATTGGGGAAGTGCTTGTGTGCAAGCAAGAGGACCTGAGAGTGTAAACCCAGCACTCACGTTAAAATTCTGAGAGTGGGGCCACCTGCTTGCTATCCCAGGTCTGGGAGGCAAAGACAGGACTATCTCCTTCCGGAACTTGATCATCAGCTAACCTAGCTGAATGGGTGAGCCCGAGGCAGTGGGAGACTTTGACTCAAAAGGTAAGAGGAGAACACTTGAGGAAGACATACTGCATCAACCTCTGACCTTCACAAACTTACACACACACACACACACACACACACACAAACACGGAGCAGGTCAATTCAGTTTGTCTAGAAAGAGATTACCAGGGTGCTGTATGCTAGGACAGCCACGAAAGTGAACACAAAAGGACCAGAAATACTTCCGTGTGGAGTAGGCACATCTCCAAGTCACTTCTTCAGTGCAGAAAGAGTAGAGAAACCCCTGTCCTAACTTGCTTTCTATTGCTGTAATAATACCAAAACTAAAGCTACCTGGGGAGGAAAGAGCTTATTTCGGCTTGTAGTTCCTCATAGAGGGAAGTCAGGGCAGGAGCCTGGAGGCAGAAACTGAAGTAGAGACCATGGCCACTGCTGTTTATTGACTTTCTCTTCATGGATTGCTCAGCCTTCTTTTTTATTCCGCCCAGGATCACCTGCTGAGGAATGATGCTGCCCTCAGTGAGCTGGCCCCTCCCACAGCAATCTTCGTTCAAGAGATTGCACTAAAGGCCAATCTTACAGAAGCATTTTCTCAATCGAGGCTGCCTTTTCTCTGATAACTCTAAGCTTGTGTCAAGTTGACAAAAAAAAAAAAAAAAAAAAAAAAAAAAAAAAAAAAAAGAAGAAAGAAAGAAAAGAAAGAAAAACTAACAAAGACACCCCCTGAGGGAGGAATGGAAGTTATAGGAAAAATTTAGATTAATACAAAGAATGGTCCAGCTATCAGAACTGTGTGGCTGGCCATGCGAGGGGCTGCTTCTGAGAGGGGAGTCCTTGTCATTGCTCCTTCTCAAGAGCAACCGCTTGGCAGGCTATAGCAGCTACAGCAGCTCAGCTCTCCCGCTGGGAGCCTCTGGGATGGATGTCATCAGTCTCTGGGTCCATGTGGAGAGGCCTCCATCCGAGCATCCAATTCCTTTGCTCTCATTGCTTCTGCCATTGCCACCCCAGGAAGAAGACACCTGATGCGAGTGGCAGTCTAGGGAAGGACTTACGGCAGGTTCTACCTTAAGCATCTCTCTGGTGACATAAAATACGTATTATTGCTATATTGCGGCATGATGTACCCACAGGCCCACGTGACAGAAAAACTCCAGCCAGAGTCACCACTTTTACCCCATTCTGTGTATCTTACTTTTATGGGTATATACACATGTGTGCAAATTCATGTGTGTGCATGTTCCTGTGTGTATGGGTGCATTGTGTAGAGGCCAGAGGACAATTTTGAGTGTCATTCCTGAAGACTCCATGATCTTTGTTTATTTACTTAATTATTTTAATTTAATTTTCTGTATCCTTGATAATTTTACATTGCAGATGATGAAATATCATATCTAGTCCTCATTTCCCTCCCCCCAATGCTCCCCGTTTTCCCCTCAATTCTCTTCCTAGTGTGTTCCTGGGCACAAGATCAAGCCAGGCAAGATTCCAGCAGAGATGGGGGGAGGTGGTCTCCAGGCTCCGCTCCTCATTGAAGGGCTATTGATGCTTCATAACATCTGGGGGAGGGAGAGTCGTTCTGTTTAAGGTGTTTCCTTTCCTATGCTCATACTTGGTTGTTGGGATAAAGTCTCTTCATAGACCTGGAATTTGCCAATTCAGCTAGGCTGGCTGGGAAGCAAGCTCCAGGAACTTACCTATCTCTCCCCTGGTCACCACACCCAGTTCAAAACAATTTTGTTTATTTTTAATTTCTTGAGAATGGATGTTTTGTCTGCTTCTGTGTACGCATGTGCACCAAGTATATGCCTGGTGCCTGCAGAGCCAGATAAGGGTGCCAGATCTCCTGGGACTGGATTATAGATGGTTGTGATGCTGGGAACTGAACTCTGGCTCTCTGCAAACCCCACGTTTGCCTTTTAAAATGTGGGTTCTGGGGACCAGTCTCATGTCCTCATGCTATCTCCCCAGCCCTGTATGTGTTTCTTAGGGAGCTCGGAGCTATACATGGAAGAAGCATTTCTCCTTGATGATCTGAGCTCCCAGTACAACCCAACTTCCTGAGCTTAGAATGCACAGAGGGTGGTGCTCACTTGCTTTCACATCTTACCTTCCTGCTACGGTTTGAATATGAAATGCTTTCCATAGGCTCATGATTTGCATGCTTGGTCCTCAGTTGATAGCACTCTTTACTTAGGGAGGGAGTAAAACCTTGGAAGATGGGGCCTGTCTGGAGGGAGCAGGTCACTGTGGCCTGCCCTTGAAGGTCGTGCTTGGACCTCAGGTCTCTTTCTTTCTTTTATTTTGCATTTGTTTATTTATTGTGTGTGTGTATGAGTGTGTGTGTCACACACATATGCACATGCCATACCATGATTGTGGGAGTCAGGGGACCACTCTTAATATGTGGAATCTGAGGACTGAACTCAGCTCCTGAGACTTGGCGGCAAGTGCTTCATCCACTGAGCCATCTCGCCTGTGCCCAGCTTTTGTCTGCTGTCTATGAAGTGAACAGATCCTTTTCCTCATAGTCCTGCTGCCATGATGCTGGGCCACACCACAGGCCCAGAATCAACAGAGCCAAGAACCTCGGAAAAGTCCTTCCTCCTTGAAGCTGCTCCCTCAAATACTCAGTCAGGGTTATGTAGAAGTAGAAGTGACGACCACACTTTCTGTCGTAGTCTCTCTGAGATGCTAAACAGAAGTCCCTACGCTGGGGACTTAGGTCTTGCAGCTCTGGAGCTTGTGTGATCCACCACCAAGGTGAAGGCACCTTGTTTTCTGGAGGGGGTCTTGCCTTTGTTCAGGGACAATACTTTGAGTGTTGGAGCCTCTGCAGTGGAAGAATGCTACGTCCCCGTATAGAATGGGCTCCTTCATCAAGCCTGTGTGTGAAGACATCTTTTCTGCCTTATGCAGGGCAGAGCCCTGTGACTCAGTGGACTCTCAGAGGTCACACCTCCTAATACTGCTGCATTTGAGATTAAGTATCAACTTGCAGATTGGAGAGGACAAACACAGTCAACCCCCAGCACCTTCCCTTCTGCTCACTGCCTTCCTGAGACTCCCATCTTGCCTCTTTCAAGAGTCAATGAAAGTGATGACAGGAGTTTGATCTCTCTCTCTCTCTCTCTCTCTCTCTCTCTCTCTCTCTCTCTCTCTCTCTTTCTCTCTCTCGCTCTCCCTCCCTCCCCCCCCCCCACCTCTCATTTAATGACCACTTACAGAACTGGCACGGAGCTTTCCCCTTGCCTAAGTTCACAGAGATGTACTGCTCTGGCAAGTTGATGATTAAAGTTGACAGTCAGTCCTCAATCCAGAGTGATCTTCAGTCAGCAAAAGCTTCTCCCTGGCTCTTTCCATTAGGCAGCAGGTCCTGATGTCTGAGTTCTTCAGTATACAGCTTCGGTAAAAAACAAGCAGATGCCAGGTGTGTGACTGGTGACTTTGGCTGTAGGGTGTTGATGGAAATATGGAAGAGGGTTATCCTCACTGACTCTTGAGGGATTTGTGCTTGCAATCAGTGTACAATGTAACTTGTTGAAGTACCGATTCCTGTACCTCCTTTATATCAAGTTTTCAAAACAAAACCCCGAGCTCTGCTGCTCTAGCTAGCTCTCCAATGGTACTCACGTAGAAAACAAGGGCTGAGAGACTGTTACTCTAGACTCCTTCAAGGCTACTCGGCACTCAAGGTTGGGGCTGATACAGAAGCTGATAATTTCTCGGAAACAGCTGAAAAGCATCCTTCATCTCAGATGCCGTGTGTCTGAGTACTCCTAAGGCATCTCTGTCTGGCCTACAAAGTCCACACAAAGGCAGATGTCTCATGCTTTCTTAAATGATCCTCACCTTCTTCTAGAGACAAGTGCACAAAGCTGTCCAGTAGCATTCAAGGTAAAGACATCTGCCTCCTACTAAACATGTTTCCATAGGGTCTGGAAGAAAATCCATGATAATCCACAGGTCTACCAAACTGGCCCTGGCAGCGCTGAGTTGAAGATGTAGAACATTGCAATCAATGATGAATTTGCATGTACACACACACACACACATACATATACACACATCATATGCTTACACATGGTGCTTTTACATGCATGCACGTATACCCCCACACATGCATGTGCAAGCACACACACGCACACACGCACACAGGCACACATACATGTACTCAGGTTGCTCCCATGTGGCAGCACAGTCAGCAGCTCCCTCATCTCAGAGCCTTAAACAACCTTTTGGTTGGTTGTCTCAGTCTTTCTGCCCTGTCCTCATGATCCAACCATGACCATTCCTCTTCTGGAGGCAGCTGTTGGCCTAAGAGTTCTTAGTGCTGGGATGGTTACATTGGGTGCATCTTTGCCAGCCCCATCCAGAGAAACGCTTGGACTCAGTCACCACACCCCTCTCTTACAGCTCCATTGTTGAAATAGGAGCGCCGGGGCTGCGTCCCCAGCACCCCGGCCACCTGCTAGCTCATGCCCGAAATAACAACACACAAATTGTATTAATTTAAAGACTGCTTGGCCCGTTTCTATCTAGCCTCTTCTAGGCTAATTCTTGCACCTGGACTAGCCCATTTCTAATAATGTAAGCACCCCAAGGTGTGCTTACTGGGAAGATTCTAGCCTACGTCGATCCTGGGTCAGAGCTGCCTGGGAGAGCGGAGCCTGGCCTCTCTGCTCTGGAGAGCAGAGCTGTCGAGTCTCTCCAGGAGCAGAGCAGAGTCTGACTCTGAGAGGAGCTGCATTACTTCTGACCTCACTTCCTCTTCCTACCAGCATTCTCTTCTGTTTACTCCACCCACCTATGTTCTAACCAATAAAATGGGCCAAGCCAGTTTTTTTTATTAGCCAATGACCTTCTTCCATCACTCCATCTTTATGCCTCTGGACCAGTTTTCCCTTTTATTCAGCTTGTGTGTCTTGAGCTTGGGAACAGAGCCTCTACTTGTTAGGCCGACTCCTCCCCTTTAGGGTGGGTCTGGATGGTGGTTTCAGGCTGACTCTGTAGTTTTCTGAAGCCTGCAGTTTTGACAGACAGTTACAGGAACCCAGAAGCCTTCTCTGTGTGCAAGAAGTCTAATTTATCACGTAGTAATGGTTCCAGTAATCCTGCAGCTAGGCCCTAGGACCCCAGCAGCTTCACCCCTGCCAGCTCCCCAGAAACCACATGAGGTTCACCCTACAACCCTGCACCCCAGGCCTCCTGATTGTAGTCAGTTCGGCCTGGAAATGGATCTCCAAAGTTGTGTGGCTTTCAGAGATAAGGATAATCCAGAGGGCTACTGTACCCTTGCGATTCCAAATTCTTCCGTAGCCAAACGCCCTTGTGCCAGCTGAAATTCACGCCACAGCATGGCTGAGGAAGGGCTTTGGGTTTGGGGTTGGTAGACCTTGACTGAGGGGCCTGCTAGGTCCCAGCTTGCTTCTTGAGCCAGGTGAGCCTGTTTGCCCTTTTTAGCCTCAGTTTCTTTGTCCATGGGCTGGGCTGGCCCATAGCACAGAAGCAAATCTTACTGCTTGCTGGGTGCCCCCTGTCTTAAGAGTTCCATACAAAGGTCAGTGTCTGGGGGTTCTGTCCACTTCCCGGGAGGCCCCTCCTGCGTGGCAGACATTGCTGGGCTCCCTTTGTCTCCTACTCACCGTATCTCTGAGTGGTCCTTACCCCTGCTCTGCCTCTGTCATCCGGCACATACACCTGGGGTATCACAATATGCAGAAATGTGTCCTCCTCTGGCTGGGTGGTCATTTGCTCCATCCAGAGAAGCCAGTCTTCATTTGTTATGCTGGAAGCGTGCCACACTCCAAAGCTCATGATGCAGCAAGATGCCCTTCCCCACTTCATCACCTGAGGAAGGACATGCACCTGAGAACTTTCTACTGTGGTTGGTGTGGTGTCTACTCTATGAACAGTCTAGGGAAGGCAGTGATCTGCTGGGTGTGGGGGAGACCTTCCACCCATTATGAAACAAAGCAAAACAAAAATAAGAACAAAAATATATAGTGATAACTACATAAGACTAGACACACGTTGGTCTTGAAGGGTACCAGGAAGATCTTTTGGTGCCTCTGTTCTGGGAACAGAAATTTGGTAGGGTACCAAGTACCAAGTAAGGAATGGGAAGCTCTTCCATTTAGTGAGTGGAAGACATTGATGCTCACACAGCGTTGATCCTCTGCAGGATTCTGTCCTAATAGATCTCCACATAATCCTGTTAATTACATCTGCATGAAAAGTGGGGAAACTGAGGCAAAGAGAACTAAGAGCAGTCAAAAGCTTCACATTAGCAAGCAGTAGAGCTGAGAATCAAACAGAGATCACTTGACTGCATAGGGAGGCTTGGCCTCTCAGGCTCCATAACTCCAGGGGAGTCCACCCTTGCAGTTGTGATTTCATTCCAGTATGGCTGTTTTCATGTCCCTGTTCATTGCTGGGCTACGCTCATGAGTCAGGAACCAGCCCTGCTTGTTTCTTTTTGTCCTCCTGGCCCTTGCCAGGTGTCCAGTAACTATAGCTCCATGAATGAAGAAGTGAATGAGCGAGTTAGTGAATGGGAGCCACCATGACAAATGCCACCGGAAAGGGGTGAGTGAGAGTGTGTTAAAGGACAGCCAAAAGAGCGAGCATGCGTAGGGAAGGCAGTGGGCAAAATGATGCTTGCAGGGGGGGTGTTGCACCCCAACATGTTACTGGAGAGTCAGCTACATCTGCAGTGTTGACCTGGACTCCAGCTGCATGACAGCCCTTTGGGAGCCTTTATCACTCCCCCCACCACCACAGCAGGGTGGTACTCTGAAACAATGTCTTCAGGGTCCTCTGAAGCTCAGCATGCCACGTAGCTCCCCCTTCTCCCTCCCACCAGCTGAGGCCTCTGAGCTGCATCCTTGTCCAGATTGCTGGCATTACTTCTAATCCTTAAACTGTACCTTCCCCCTGGAGGAAAAGCCTCTTTTCATGCTGAGGTTGGAACGCTAAGTGTTCTGGAAGCAATTGGAAATAATCATGAGAACAAGCAGGGGGTAGTGTACAACAGGAGAGGAGGAGACGCCACTCCCCTGAGAAAACAACCTTACCAAGTCCCTGGCTGCAGAGATTTGAGGCTGAGGCAATGGGGTGACTTCAGGGTGGAGAAAGCAACCAGGGAGGGGTGCTGGCAGTTGGGGCGGCCAACTCTCACCCGGCCAGTTTGTGCACATGCAGGCATGAAGGCATAAATCTTCAGAATGGTTGGTGTGTGTCAGTGGGAAAGAGGGGTAGGCCTGCGGTGTAAGACATAATGAGTTAAGGGAATCATTGGGCGAGTGAAGAGAAATATCAGGCATCAAATTGCAGGGAAGATTTCAAGTAATCATAAAGGGTTTTCTTCAAATATATTCACTGCTAAGAGCTACAGATGTCAGGAGAGGAAATTGGTTCACTTACAGTAATAGTCGTGAGGTTGGGGGCGGGTGGGCAGGAAGAGTTAACCAGACACCTCCTTCTCCCCAGGGGTGCTGGGTGTGGGGAAGAGGGCCAGGTTCAGGGACAAGGTGTGGGAGGAAGGTATGGTTTCTCCCTGGAATTGAACTGATAACCAGTCCAGTCTGAATGGAGAGACAGCTTAAAGGACATGATAATCCCAACAGCTACCCGCTCCCTGAATGAGAGACAGCCAGCAGTTAAGGGATGCGTTGGCCTGACGTGACCAGAGCTCCCTACTGGGTGTGGAATACAGTGGAGACACTTGGGAGTACAGTGGCTTCTCTGAGTGTCCAGCCTACTGATGAGATGAAAGCAATGCTCAAAGGCGGGTGGGAAAGATCTCCAAGACAAAACTGTGGGGATGAGAGCTGCCCATGACCACAGAGCGTGGAGCTTCAGGGACCATGCGGTGACCACTTAGGCATCATTCCTGTCTGCGTCTCTGCTGCTGTTGACACAGTCCTTACCAAACAGCCTTGTGGAGGAAAGGGTTCATTTGGTGTCAGTGAGTCCACCATTGAGGAAAACTAAGGCGGGAACCTAGGATCTGAAACTAGAGACCGTGGAGGTAACACTGCTTGTCGGCTTGCTTAGCCACCCTTTATATACAGCCCGAACCTGCCTAGGGACGGTACTGCCCACAGGGCGCTGGGCCCTCCTACATCAGTAAGCAATAAAGAAAATGTCTTACAGTCAACGACCACAGGCCTATGTGATCTGGACAATTCTTCAGCTGAGGTTCCCTCTTCGCAGATGACTCTAGGTTGGCGTCGTTGACAGCTGCAGCTGATGACAGACCTGTTTGCTCCCAGAAGCCTCCTTTCCCAGGATCCCTCGCTGAGTAAGACATTGCATTAACTGAGGCAGATCCCACCTTCACCTGAGCAGGGAAGCCCAGGGTGACTCTGCCATCCGGAAGAGCCCAGGCAGTGGGTTGAAGCAGCTCAAACACCTCTTAGGGGGGACACAATGTGATGGACAGTTTTGCAAAAGGCATAGGCAGATTCAGCTGACTTTATCATAATGACTTTTATGCTAGTTCCCTGAGACAGCCCTGGTTCTTATGAGGAGACGTGATGGAGCCCTGGCCATTGGTAACTGACAGAGGTGTCTGAATTAAGGAAGCCCTGTCTTTAACAGGACATAGTTAATGCCTTTTTCTTCAGAAAGTGTTGAAATAGAAGCGGCGGGGCTGCGTCCCCGGCACCCGGCCGCCCGCATGGCTAGCTTATACCCAGAAATAATTACACGGAAACTGTATTCTTTCAAACACTGCCTGGCCCGGCTAGGTCCAGTTTCTTATTGGCTAGCTCTTACATATTGTTCTAACCCATTTCTAATATTCTGTGTAGCCCATGAGCTGGCTTACCAGAGAGGATCTTAACCTGCGTCTGTCTGGAGTGGGAGCATCATGGCGACTCACTCACTCAGCTTCTTTTTCCCAGAATTCTCCTCTGTCTACTCCGCCTACCTAATTTTCTGTCCTATGAGGGCCGAGGCAGTTTCTTTATTATTACAAGACCCACCTCCATCAAGAAAGCAGAGGGTTCCTTAAACTGTGAGAATGTCCAGCCTTTGTGGCGGAGGGCACGAAACTGCTAGCACTCAAGGCTCTTTGCGTCTGGCTCTGTGGTTTTCCTATCAGCGTCTATTCATTGCACAGACGCTCTGCTGTGCTGTTTTCTATATGCACCTCACAGACTCCGGTCATGTCCATCTCCTTTGACCCTCTCCACACTCTCCCCTGCTGCTGGTCCCCTGCTTTCTTCTACTTTCATGTCTTGGTTTGTAAGTTTTTTTATCTGGATTTTTTATATGATAGAAAACATGAAATATTTGTCTTTATCAGATTAGCTTAATTCAGCCAGCATAATAATAATTTCGGATTCTACCATTTTTCTGCATGCTTTTTCTGATTTAAAAAATAGATTTATATATGTGTATATATATATATATATATTGTGTGTGTGTGTGTGTGTGTGTGTGTGTGTGTGTGTGTGTGTATGGTGCTTGCAAGACTAGATGCAAGCTTTGTATTCCCAAACGGGAGTTACAGGTATTTATATACCAACTTCTGTACATGCTGGCATCTGACCTCTGGCTACTAATTTACTAATATGGTAGTATGTTTTCACTAATATTTACTGATTATTTACCATATTTGCTAATATGGTAGTAAATAATCTTAATCACTGACCCATCTCTTCAGCCCTGATTTTTTTTGTAGAATACTATTTTCTACTATTCTTTTATGTTAATTTGGTTTGCTCTGTGAAGCTGGGCTGCCTGTCTAAAACACCTGATGGGCCTGATAAGGAGCTGAATGGCTAATAGCAAGGCAGGGGAAAGAATAAGTGGGGCTGGCAGGCAGAGAGAATAAACAGGAGAAAAAATATGGAAAGAGAAAAGATTGGGGTATGAGAAAAGAAGGAGAGAGGACACTAGGGGCAAGCCACCCAGCTACACAGCAATCCACGGGGTAAGATGAAAGAAAAAAAAAAAAAGTGTACAGAAAAGGTAAAAAAAAAAAAAAAGCCCAGAGGCAAAAGATAGAAGGGATAATTTAAGTTGAGAAAAGCTGGCTAGAAACAAGTCAAGTTGAGGTTGGGCATCAAAAGAAAGACTAAGTCATTGTATGTGATTATTTGGGAACTGGTGGCAGCCCCTCCCCACAGAGCCAAAAGATTGAAACAACCAACTACATGATTTAGTTTCTTTTTAGTGCTTAAATAAAATTGTAGAGCCAGGGAGACGTCTCAGCAGGTGAAAGTAACTGTTACACACTCTGACGATCTGAGGCCTGTCCCCAGAACCCACATAAAAAGTCAGATATGGTGGGCAAACCTCTGTAATTCCAGCATTACTGTGGTGATTTGGGAGGAGACAGGAGCCAAGGCCAGAGGCTTGAATGCATAGAACAGCAGCAGAAATAAGAGACCCTGCCTCAAAACAAGGTAGAAGGAGAGAATCCATTCCTGAAACATTGCCCTCTCACCTCCACATGCACGCTGGGATTCCTGTATGCACTCCCCCCTCCCCCGATACACACACACACACACATAAAAAAATTTTAAATGTCCATTGGAAATATATGCTTCATTTTATTTTTTCATCTGCCTGTCAGTGGACATATAGGATGATTCTGTAATGTGAACGTAGTACACAAACATTCCTGGAAGGATTCTCTAGGACTGGATGTCAGGTCTTTGAGAGACCCTGGATTATTGCTTCCCAACTCTGACAAACCACAATGCTGCAGCTTGTAGTCAGTGGGTCAGTGCTGAGGTCTTCTGCTCACTGACGGATAGTTAGAAGACAGTCTAACCACAGCAGGTTCTCAGCATGTGCGGAAGTCCCTGCTAGGTAACCCCCATCCAGAAAGTCTCCCCCCAAGAAATCTGCAACACGCTATGGGAGACTTGTTCTGTGAAAGTCGGCTCTCTGTATTCGCTGCCTTTCTCACTGCTGGGACTGAAGCAACATCTGACAACTGATGCAAGGAAGATTTATCCAGGCCCCAGGTTTGGGAGGGAGGTGCCTATCAAGGTGAAGCACAGTAGGGGTCGTGGTGGCTGGGCTGTGTGGCTGGGACTCCTCACATCCCCAAGTACTGGGAAATACGAAAAATGCCACAGTGTGACCTACGTTTCAGGGTGTGTCTTCCATGCTCAGTCAGATATGCCCAGAGCTGTCTCCTAGGTAAACCCAGCCAGGTTGACAAACCCACTCCTTGTCAACCCCCAAACCTGTCTATTTAAAATCATACCACCGAATGCCTCCGTGAAGCTCCTGCCACATGTCCTTCTTGTGTGCTGTCCTGTTTCCGTCAAAGGGATTTCCCCAACTCCAGGAAGCAAGGAGGTTGTTCAGGAGACAGCCACTATTCTGAGTGTCTGTGCCTCAGGCAACGCTGATGCATCACCAGGCCCTAGGCTTTCTCACAGGTCTCCCCCTCCTCCTCCGCTCTGCCTTGCTCAGGCCGCTAATTAAAAGTATCAAAGCCAAGCAGGGCTGTCTCATTACATGTCCTGTTTATGTGACTCTAATGTGCTTAGAGATGATTTGAAAGGCTGCAGAAGTTTCTCCACGTCCAGCCTGGAGCTGGCAGCCCGGAGATAAGAGGATCGGGAACCGGGCTCCAAATGAGTTCTAGCAAAAACCAAGAACACATTAGTGTGGGTGAGGAATTAAAAATAACAGAGATGTTGCACATTTTTTCTGATTAATTAGCTGTTCAAGTTAATTTTGCTGCTTGTAGAGACAAATCATGAGTCTTAATAGAGGTGCAATTTCCTACTGACCACAGAGATGCCAGGATGGAGCATCTGGGACCAGCAGAGACCATGTACGGGGAGACTCCAGAGGATGCTGCAGCCACTTGGGACCAGCAGGGACCACCACGTATAGGGAGACTCCAGAGGATGCTGCAGCCGCTTGGGACCAGCAGGGACCACCACGTATAGGGAGACTCCAGAGGATGCTGCAGCCACTTGGGACCAGCAGGGACCACCACGTATAGGGAGACTCCAGAGGATGCTGCAGCCACTTGGGACCAGCAGGGACCACCACGTAAAGGGAGACTCCAGAGGATGCTGCAGCCACTTGGGACCAGCAGGGACCACCACGTACAGGGAGACTCCAGAGGATGCTGCAGCCACTTGGGACCAAAAGGGACCACCACATACAGGGAGACTCCAAAGGATGCTACAATCACTTAGAAACTTTCCTTCACTCCTGGGCTGAAGGGTGGGGTTGGAGCCAGCAGGCTCAGATTTGCCCTTTCTCTCCTTGCCCATTGAAGAGTGGTGATAATTCACTTCCTGTTGCCTGGGACTGGCAGGAGACCGTGAGATGCTGGATGGTCCCAGCATCCAGACCCCAAACTTACTGCTTCACCCATTCACTCAGTCAGCAATTACATCTTACTCTGTTCCACATAGTAGGTTCTTTGGGAAGACTGAAGTGAAGACGTAAGAGTTTTTATTTAAAAGGTTTGTTTTATTTTTATGTCTTTGTGTGTGTATCTCTGTGTGTGGATGTACATGTGTGTGAAGAGATTGGCGGGGTCCAAAGGAGGCTGCCCACAATGCTGGTGTCTACACACATTCAGCACTCCCTGGGTTTGGACACACTAGGACTTCCTATTTAAAAATAATCACATGTGTGTAGGGGCAAGGGGACAGTCTCAGGCATCATTCAGGTTTTTATATACCCACCTTTGTTTTAGAGTACCGTTTCCCCCTTTACTTTTTGTTTTATGTGCATTTGTATGAGGGCGTCGGTCTCTGGAGCTGGAGTTACAGTCTTGAGCTACCATGTTGGTGCTGGGAATTGAACCCTGGTCCTCTGGAAGAGCAGCCAGAGCTTTTAAATGCTTCCTCGTGTCTCCAGCCCAAACCCACCTTTTTTTTTTTTTTTTTGAGACAGGATCTCTCACTGGCCTGGACTTTGCCAGGTAGACAGACTGGTTAATCAGGGAGCCCAAGGACCACCTATTTGATCCTCCCCAGCACTGGGATTACAAGCGCATCCCACCATATCCAGATACTTCTCTGTGTTCTGGGGATCAAACTCAAATCCTCATGCTTGCACAGCAAGCCTCTTACTGATTGGATACTGCCTGAGCCTTGATTTTGAATTAAAAAGCAGACCAAGCATGAAAGGCCTCATGTAGTAGAATCAGAAGCAGGATGCTTGACTGGATGCCCAGCCTTGGACTTGCTGCGGAGTCGCACAGGCAGGTCCCTGCTGCCATCCTAGACACATCTTTCAGTGCTGAGTTCTGCGGCTCTGAACTCTCTGCTCACCACCTTGGTCTTGCCTCCAGCTAGATCCTTCCCCACTAGAGAAAATCCTTAACACAGAGCTTTGCTAGATAGGGCGCACGTGCTGGTTCTAGGGTCAGGGAGAGAAGCCAGGGATACCCATGGCTCACAGTGAAGAGAACTCTCCAAAGACTGTGGGACTGGAATGTTGCCCCATGGACTCAGATGAATGGCTAGCAGGAGCCAAATGGGGGTGGGGGTCAGAGTGAAGTGGGACCAGGGGCACTTCCAGAGAACTCCATCCCCAGCTAAGGGGACAGCTGCATTTGCTGATGGCTCAGCAAGGCTGGGTTGCAACCCATGGCTGGCAATCTTCCATCTTTTTAGAAGAAGTCTTAATCCAGCTCTTTTGGGAACCAGAGAGTAGTCTAGCTTTCAAAGCACTGGTCTTGGATGTAAAATATTGAATGCTACTGTGTGGGTGAACAGTATGTGCCAGGGGACCCGTTTCTGGCTGTGAACATGTCAGTTAGAGTTAGACGATCATAACAGGAAACAAACAAGGAACCAGAAAACACAGCAGCTTAAATAGAACTAAGCCTCTCTCTTAAAAAATATGGAGAAGTCTGAGCCAGCAACCTC